CCCTGTAGAGTTGATCAGTTTCACAGTATCAGTTAAAATTGAAACTTCCATTTTAGCCTTTTACATTTTGTTTTTTTATTACCCATTATCTTCCTTATTGCACGAGAAACAACATTTTATAGGATGACAGGATTTAATATTGGTTTTAATTAACATTTTTCCATTTTACTCAATAAAGTAAGTAGCAGGCTATGGAAAACACGGATTACCAGTAAATGTCAAATAGAGATGCTTGTTTCTGTGCAAACTTGTAAACTATTAGTATCTCTGAGCTGAGTTTAAAAGGTCCGAGCTGTTACGAAACGTTGTCTTAATGTTTTTGAGAGTTTTAAAAATGTCGGATTATCTTCTGATTAGTTCTTCGATTCCTGCCTTGTCCTGGCCTGCGACAATTACTCCTAGTATCTCTATACCGTTGTATAACTCCTGCTAAGTAGCATTTTCAAATGAGGACCACATGTCAATACTAAACACAACGTTATTAGTTACAAAAAAATAGTTAGCTCCCTACCTTTAGTATTAAATAAATTTAAACGTTTTTATAACGTTGTGCCGACGTTGGACTTGTACTACAGCAAAGTAGAAACTTCTGAGACGTCGAATAAACGTTGTCCTGTAACCTTTTTTGCTTAAGTGATCTTTAGGTGATCAGGACAACGTAGTTACAACATTGCACAATATAGAGTTTTCCGACATCAGTTTCCTCTCAGGACCTGGTCTATAACGTTAATAGTAAAACCGTCAAACGTCGTCTGTCTTACTAATTCCAACGTTGCTTAGATTTCCTTATTCTTACGTTGGTGGACGTCGAGTCACTACCTTTTGGCAACTGTATTGAACCATAAACTATAAATCTTAAATTTTCACCTTACTGTTCTTCGTTCAGTCAGACAGTTCAGTGTTGTTTTTGTTTTATAAAACTTAATTTCGTACACATAAGAAAGGTACATATATAAACCAAATATACATCGACATATATTACCGATAGTTTTTCCACTCCCTCGTTTATTTATTATAGAGGGCGGCACAAGCTAGACTCTGGGATGACTAAATTAGGCAATTTTGCGACGAGTATACTACCTGTTAAGGCTGAACTACGACTTTACTAGTCCAGTATGCGACTACTACTCGAACTACTCCATCTTAATCTCCAAAACAACAACAAAGGAAAGCAGCCATGTTGTTAAATAAGAAAAATGTTTCTTTCCTAAAAATAGCAATTCCTGCTTTTTTGAATACATTAACTTTGAAATATTTGACCTTTTAAAAATCAGTCAAGTGGAAACAATTCTTTCGACTGCGAATAAATTCTTCTCATTTTACTAAAAAAAAAAAAAAATTCAAGCAGAAAAATTTTAAACTTCTAAATAAAATAACTAATTATAAAACTTTATTAAAAAAAAAAAAATACATTTTAATATCAATAACTTTGGTTTGCTTAACTTTTTTGCCTTCGGTAACGAGTTACAGAGTCGGTTAAAGTGTTTCAATAATTATGGTCTTAAAACATCCTCCACACTTAAATACTTTGTTTTGTTTTCCTTCACTGTCATCTGACATATGTCTCTAAATAAATCATAAAATAATATTTTACTATAATTATCTCAATTCAGGATAAAACGCGACTTAGACGCTATATTAGTTTTATTGTAAATTAGATTAAACTTAATGTTTAAAACAACGTTGCAGTTTGTACTAAATTAGGCTTCTAGCCAACGTCGGAATCCAACGTCGTTTCGACCCAAAAACTATTCTCCAAACTAGTGCAGACTAGGCTTGGCAAGAGGTTGTGCCCACGTTGCGCCCCGACGTCTGGTCGCGTGACACAACGTTGTCCTGACGTCCAAATGCTGCTTGGGTCGTGAAATGGTTGAGTGAGTTACATTAAATCGTTCACCAATTCTTCAGTAGCTCCAACCTTCCTCAGGCAATATTAATGCTTGAGCACATTCTTCGCCAGTAAAATTTCTTGTTTCACGTGCACGTTGCATATTTTTGATATAATAAAGAGACGAAAACGACTGACACTGACAACAAGCATCTCTATTTGATATTTACTGGTAATCCGTGTTTTTCCATAGCCTGCTCTACTTACTTTAGTGAGTAAAATGGAAAAATGTTAATTAAAACCAATATTAAATCATGTCATCCCATACAATACATACTGCACAAGGAAGATAATTGGGTAAATAAAAACAAATAAAAAAGATAAGGGCTAAAATGTGATTTCAATTTTAACTGATACTGTAACTGATCAACCCTACAGGGTGTCAAGCAAATTTTATTAAAAAAAAAACACGTTATAATTAAGTACACCTCGGTTAGTATAAAAAGGGTTCCTATCAAAATACAGTTAGTATAGCAACATTGTGGAAAGAATAACCTATCATTCAAAAAAAAATCGTCCAAATCGGATAAGTGGTTTTGACAAAAACTTAACTTAAACTTTTGGTTATTTTTTTGTGGTGCGTTAATTTATTGGGGAAGTGTATTTTGAGCGAGAACGTGACAATAAAGATCCTTTATTACCCTTGACTGCACTCAGAAAAGTAAGTTTGATTGATAAGCACGTTATACCACTTTCAAAGTTAGGTTTTATTAAATTTTGTGATTATTTAGTTTGTGCATTAATAACACCCTCTTTCTTGTTATTACCACTTATGGCGTTGTAAGATGTACCTCAGTAAATAAATAACCCATAATATCGCTTTATTCATAATATACTAGTTTTTACCAATATTATAAATAAATATTTTGTAATAGAATAATATCAAGCTCTGTAAAATTTTATCTTTTGGTTTGTTATTCTAAGATGGGACCATTTCAGTTTACGAAGTTATCAGTTGACATAGGCAAACGAATTTAAAGGTCTAAGAAATAATCTAATGATATTCAAGACACATAAACTCTAAATGTACGCATATATCCTGAGAAACTAACTAAGCAAATAATACAATCTTCTAAATAATTTTAAAGTCACATAAACGAGGGTAAAGTAGAACAAACATTCATCCCATATTATCAAAACTCTATTTGACAGAGTGGTACCAGTTATGTACCCTAGGGATATCTCAAAATAAACAACGCAGAAAAAGCACGTAGGCATGCTTAAGGAAATAAGTAAAATTAAATCATCCCATCGCTAGAGGTTTTAAATTGAAAATTAAAAGTATTAAATATATGTTTTAAAAATCAGAACTACAAATGTTCACGAGATGAATGTCTGAAAATGATAGAAATAGGATTTCATCTTTTTCCGTCTCTAGAAAGTTAAATAGAAATAGACAAAATGAAATTGAAGAAATAAAGATTTAATACTCTAGCGGTTTTAAGGTAATCCCATGTCACGATACCTACTAGTTAAGGTAGATTATGAATGTTTTTCAGCAAATTGGTAAAAGAGTAAGATTTACACGGAAGGGTTTAAAAATTACATTTAATTAATAAATAGGACATGCTGATGTCCTCTCGGGACAAGGACCAGAAACAAGGGTGAAAGCAGTCTAGGGATCTTTCGGTGAAGGAGCCCTTCGGCCAATTAAAAAGGTGCGAAATATGCATTTGGATGGTATTCGAAGGTTCCTCAAACAGGGGCGTGCCAAAGATGTAGTAACGCCTTTCCGAGATAATACCAGCATCAGTATTTTCACCTTCACAAATTAGTCGGTACCGGACTTTTAAATTAGACGGTCGAATTTACTCCGTGTAGATCTTATATTATCCAGTGGTTTTTTTAATTGTTTTAGTAAGTTCCCTATCTAAAGATTTTCTCAAATAAATTCTCAAGTTAGAAAATTCTAAACCATTCATGCTTACAGTATTTTAATTGTTGTTTTGATTTTCCTAATATTTTTCTTATTAATGATTTAAGACTTTCTGTTTGTTCTAAAGGCCTTAGTAAATTTTAGATGTCATTGCATAAGTGATTATTTTGCAATTGTTCTTTTATTAAATTCTAATTTAAAATTTAATTGTTCAGTGAATATTTTTTAATATATTAATTTTCTGCCAACGATAATTCTAAGAGAGATTTGAAAGCATGCTTAATTAGATAATTTAAATTGGACTAATAAGAAGAAATATTTTGTATTTTTTAATCCTTTATTATCTCTGAGTTTTAATTTCAATTCTCTAATTGTCATTAATTTTTTTTTTTTTTTTTTTTTTTTTTTTTTTATTACATTTATTTATACGAACCTTTTTCTTTATTTTTTATTTATTTATTTTATATTAAATATAGTTAGGTGTTGTGAAAAATCGGCATTTTATTTCTTTTATTTCACCTAATCACTAAAAATATTAAGTTATTTGAAAGAACACTGTGATAACCTGTCGAGTGGTTCAATCCAAAGAATGAGTCCAAGACCGAAGAGGTAGATCTACAAGGGGATCAATGAAATCTTCGACAGGTTCTTGTTGTTGATGTATTGCCGATGGATGTTGACGTAATAAGGTAAGTGGCAATAGAGTTTATAGTAACTGAAATTAGAAAGAGCCCTTATAAAAGTACATGCCCTAATTTCTGATCTCTTTAGCTGGTTATACTCTTGTTTTTATATGTAAACGATAAACCATATTTACGCTCTGAAAAGTCGGTGTTCTAATTATCCAAGTTCTGCCTCACCGCCTAATGTAAACCATTTTAATTATAATTATATAAAGGCCACACTACCATGTTAACGGACAAATCTGGAAAGTTTTGTCATTACAATGTAATAAAGCAAAATAAGCTATAAAACAAATAAATCAATTAGTCAGTAAAATAGTTATTAAATTAAAAATAAAACGTAAAACTCTTTAAAAAATGATATAGTAAATTTTATGTTGTTTGCCAATTTTAAAAATTAAGATGCATCTGATAAATCCATCACAATCTGGCCGCGCTGTCGCCATCGGTTGTCACTCAAAGTTCATCACGTGCATCGGAAATTGTTTTGCGATTACCACAGAATAACAGCATTCTATAGATTGATCTATTTCACCAAAATTACAACACTTACCAAATAAAAAATGGGTGCGTATATCCCCAAGGCTCCAAAACCGCACGCCAGCATCATCACCCTCAACCCTCTGCTTTTCAAAGGGCTGAAATCGAACATCGGCGGTTTCTTCACCTTAGAATGCGTCTTTTTCTCCTTCATTTTCTTTCTTTGGTTTTTCAGATGCGTGATGGCTCTCCTCTGAGGATGATAGAGGTTTGCCGATCGGTACACGATGGGGAGAAAGAAACCTAAAGCTAACAGGCCTGTCACCGCTTGCAGACCCAATCTCCATCCCAATTTCCTGTAAATAAATAAAAATATTGTCACAAACTAGTCCAGTTGACTAAAAGTCGTAAAAGTATAAGAAAGTGCAACAATGATCGATACTATCTCCCACCTTCCGATGGAAGTCCAACTAGTCCCAAGAAAAGAAAATTTATCTGTGAATTAAAATGAGACACACCTATTGGTCTATCAGCAATTTTCTCTCGTATACAACTAGCCACTTCCTTTATGACGTAAACCTCTGCTTGTAGAACATTACAGCCATCCGATAGCCTTAAAGATCGTAGGATGTCTAGTTCCTCTGAAAAGATGCCTATACCTGTGTCCCCTGAATTTGCGGAAGCATCTGTGTAGACTGCCATCTCTTGAGTGTTCATTACTCGTTTACTTTCCCATTCTTCTCCACGGAATGCGAATCCCTTATCTTTTCTGCAAAATCATGTTTGGTGAGCATATAGTCCGTTTTCTGGTCTAGCAGATGTGGACTCGTGTTCAACATGATTTTCCCTATCGCTGGCAATATTCTCGAGTGACCGTAGTTAGTCTGGTTCCACATCTACATCTCTATAGAGGTGTGTAGTTCGTGAACGAACTAGTTCCAATGAACTATTCCGACCCCGGAATGAAAGGAACTAGTTCCTGGTTTCTCAAACGACTAGTTCCTCAGGACCTATTCCGGGATCGAGACTGAGTCCGATATAGAATAATATGCGACGGCGAGGGATCAGCCAGCGCGCGTAGCCCGACGGTAGGCAGGAGTGGGGAATGCCAGCCGTACGTTATCGCATCCGGACCTAGAGGAACTAAAACTAAATAAAAGCATTCAGTTTGCGTACAAACGGATCGGGCCAGCGCGATCGATGCTAGGCAGTAGTGGGAAGTCTCAGCCGTATCTTATCGGATCCGGACCTAAAGGAACTAAATAAAAGACTATTTTACGTATGGATCAGCCAGCGCGATTGATGCTAGCCTGCTAGGAAGGTGTGGGGAGTGCCAGCCATGCCTTTTGTTATCGGATCCGGACCGAGACAAACTAATCAAAAGATTAGTTCACGTGAATCTATTCAGTCGGCAGATCCGAGATATAATACAAAAAGACGACGATGGATTCGGCATTGTTTATTGCCACAGCCGGCGCGGCTTAATTACCACAGAAAATTGTCGTGGATACTGTTTTAATTTTAGTTTTGTTTTTAAATATTTTATGGAATGTTTCACTTTAGGGGTCCCTAAAATTAAGAAAATATCTTATAAAACGAAGTGGATATTCTGAATTTTTAGACAAAGCTTGAAGTGAGGAAAATGCAATTTTTCGTAAAACCTTTTTATATATTTGTCTAAATTGATTTGTGATATAGTTTTTAAATTCCGATTTGCTTTAATTTTTTTTTTTTTTTATTTAATATATGTTTTCAACATACACAATTACACGTCTCGATATATCCCCGTACATTATAAAAATTATACAGATCATACTGTGAATAGTTCTGACTGACAACGAAACGCATTAGCAAGCAAGGAGGATGTCAATGTTAGTCGGGAACTATTGTGAACTAAAGACCTAGTTCAAGGAACTATTCCTCTGGAGGAACTAGAACTAAGGAACTAGTTCCTCCCAAGGAACTAGAATTTCCACCTCTACATCTCTAGATAGATTACATTTTATGAGTTGCCTATTGGTCTATTCCACTGGCCAATTTTTTTACTCCCTTAGTTTTTTCTGTTCTATGGTTGTATCGAATGGAACGCATCCATCGAAATTTGGCATTAAAAAACGACTATAATGTTAAATGGTTTTAAAATCGGTAAAATTACCTCTGTTTCTATGTTCGAAGCGAAAAATATAGGCGCTATCGGGTCCGGGGCGGTGGCAATTTCCCACCGCACGCCATAAATGTATATCGACAGGTTTCCGACCGGAATCTCGGCCCCAAACGGCGATTCTGAATTATTCCCGCCATTTCCGGCGGATATTTCGGGTGTCGTTTAATCTAGTTTTGAAGTTGGTTGCGGCGGCCCCGGGATATCGGGTCAGAGATGAGAGTGGTCGCGATACATTTTATCGAAACCTGATTTTATACACGAAAATGCGCTTTGAAAGAAGATTTATACATATATACCATTAAATAAAACATCAAAAGGAAATAATATACTATTATTTTTATTTATTACTAAATCAGTATAAGCTTTAAGGTGCTTATATTTTTTTTTATTTTTATCTCTATTTTCATGAATTTTTTAGCAAGTTGTATATAATTATATCACCTTTTATTAGTATACTCAGTTTACACTTTTATTCAATATAAAAATAAATTACAACCTTTACAACCTATATTTATTTTTTATACTATAAAAAATAAAGAAGAGCACGCGTCAAGTAAATGACGTCTAGAGCTTGACCTCGCCAGAAGTATCATCGATTGTTATTCCGCAGCCGTTTTTGACGCCGTCTTTTTTCGATCGTATGGTACCGTATATACGAAAAAAAAACCGGCGTCTAATTGGCTTGGAAATGACCATATTCCATATAAAAAAACAGCGATCTTCATTTCAAAGCCATCGCTCAGGCCGTTTTTTTTTCGATCATACGGCATTATGTGCTGTGGTGTACTTACCCTACTGCTTCTTTGTACAAAACGGAAAATAGAGCTATCCCAACACCGGTTCCTGCTTGAGCAACCATCTCCACAAATTCCCGCCTTTTCTTAAAGTAATGTCCTAAAACTATAGTTGACGTCTCTCTTACTACACCAGCCCCCAATCCTATTTAAAAAGGGATAAAAAAATTATCTTAGAAAAAATATGTCTTAAATTTTAAAGACTATAAAACCCTTGAAAATCCAAGCTAGACATTCATTAAAAGTCTCAAACAAATATGCCTTGAAAAGAAATAAAACACTGTTTTCTGCTCTAAAAAAATTAATAGTTTCAGATGAAAAATACAGTACTCAAGCTTACCTAACACCAAACCATAACTAAGAAGAGCTTGATGGAACTTGACAGCAAACGAAGTAAAGAGACAGGCCAACGCCATAACCAATCCTCCTAAAACCGCTGCCAGTCTAGTTGATTTCCTCCTGCACACCGCTATGATCAAAGGTGATGTTGTGAACGATACGCACAGGCATAATGCTCCCAACCAAGCTGAAACCAAAAAAAGTAAATGTCAAATATTGACGTTTGATTAGTTTGTCAGTCTTAATGACATTTTAAGAGAAAGTTAATATTTTTCTGTATGTTTTTTTCTTTATTTATCAAATGAATCAGCTCAGCGGCAAATATGTTAATGTGGTACTGTCGGTTGGTGATGGAAAGAGTATGGATTTTGTCAAACACCCCATACATATCGAAGCAAATTTTAATGGAAGAATTCTAGGTAAACTTTGTCGTCATTTTCGTTTTCTTTAACAGTTATTACAAACTTACATCAATATGAAATTAGAAACCCTTCAGTAGATATATTGTTTCTACAAATGCGTACTACAACATTTTTTTATTACATTATCATTTAACCCGACTCTATATTTGAAGCGTTTGAGAAAATACTTGCTCTTGTTCCTTTGTTCAGTACATCTGGGGTACCTACATAGTGAGGCATGAAGTGAGGCCTAATCTTACTCGCCGTTTTAGAACAGTGCTTAAAATTGGATCTCTAAGTTAGAGTCGATGTTCTCTATTGTGATGCCGGGTTCACACGAAGGCGACAAAAATAAACACGATTTTGAGACAAAAACAAGACAAACTTGCGACAAAAAATGGGGAATTTTGGCAAGACAAACTTGAGACAAATTGTCCACACCGCAAGGACAAAAGTACAACAAAGTCAAAAGTTCAGTTGTTGCGAATGAGTTTTATTAATCATGTGTGCAATTGTTGATAGCACCCGCCATCCACACTGCGCCAACAACTGCGGGGCATTGAAAAGTTTCCGAATTTTGAAACAAAACAAAAATGAGACAAAAATGTCGCAGAAATGTATTGGATTTGTCGCAATTTTGTTGTAAAACATGAATGTTTCTGTCTTGTCGTTGTTTTGTCTGTGTGGTCTGGACCCGGCATTAAAAAAACAACTTGTTTTTTTTTTTGAAATTATTATATGTTTGTTCATTCTATAATAACGTATTTTCATAATAGATAGTTGTTATATGTAAATAACTAAAAATTATTATTTGGATGTAGAGTCAGACAAGTTAGTACCAGAAGAATCGATATCCTTCAACACTGAACTGATTTGGGAAGCTGATAAAAAGGAACTAAGAAAATTGAGGAGCTCTAATCAACCTCTAAGAGTCGAATGCATTTCCGTAGATCCCCAAAACAGACGTGACAGAATTGGCTTCGTTCTGATGAGCTTGAGGAGTGCCCAAGTTATATCACTGAAAGATGCCAAGACCCCAGTTAACTTCAAATGGTACATTATAGTATAGAATCTCTCCAAAAAAATGGGTATTTAGCCACTGCAAGAAAATCTACAAAATAAAATAGTTATTTTTACAAATCTAAGCCCACGGCCACACAGAAAGCGTTTTTAGCGTTTTGCGTTTTTTGCGTCTCAAGCGCTTTTTGCGATTTTACCGTTTTAAGCGTTTTTTTCGATTTGTGTCCAGTAAAAAACACGCAAAAGACGCGGCAGGTCTGCAGTTTCTATCAAGATGTCAATTAGTAATGTCGCAAGCTCGTGGATTCCCGGCCCGTGCAACAATCAATCCTGTGAGAAAGAGATGGGCGAGATCGGCGCGGTTAGCGTTGAAGAGACGAAGATAAAAGATGCTGGGATTGAATTGTGGACGGGCCGGGGCATATATTCGGCGACAGACACAATCTACTGCTAGTGCCAGTGGTGTGTGTAAAAATAATGTTATTTGCCATTTATTTTACGAATTTTAGTTTATATGTATATAGTTTTTTTATGTTGTAGTATTGTGGTTACTTGTTCTAATTATAATATAATAGATTAGTAAATATGTATATATTACTAATTGCTAACGCAATCTTAGGACATGATTTATGAACATTTTTGGAGTGAAACTTCTTTACGCGTGCTGGGAGTAAACATTCAAGGCCGTGACATACGAGCTGCGAGACGGCCGCAGCCCTGACACACGAGCTAGTTGTAACGAAACGTGTTAACGGCTTAGAAATACGTTAGTGACGCGATGTGTATTAATTTGTGAGCAGTCCACGTGTTTATCAAAAATATTGATATTTATTTTAATACAAATTTTGTAAAAGTGAATCAAATTATTACGTGTAAAAAACCATTTATTACATGTTAAAAACTATTTTTATTATTTTACGCGAATAAAATGTTATACTTAAAAAACTATTTTTACGCGTATAAAACTATTTGTTTTGGTAGAAAACTATTTTTTACGCGTATAAAACTATTTGTTACGTGTCAAAAACTTATTGTTTCTGGTAAAAACATTTTTTTTTCTGGTAAAACACCTTTTTTACGCAAAAAAAATATTTTTTACGTGTAAAAAACTATTTGTTACACGTAAAAAACTAATTTTTACGCGTCAAAAACTTATTGCTTCTGCTAAAAACTTTTTTACACAAAAAAAATTACGTGTAAAAAATTATTTGTTACACGTAAAAAACTAATTTTTACGCCTCAAAAACTTATTGCTTCTGCTAAAAACTTTTTTACACAAAAAAAATTAAGTGTAAAAAATTATTTGTTACACGTAAAAAACTAATTTTTACGCCTCAAAAAACTTATTTTTCTGGTAAAAACTTTTTTACAGGAAAAAAATTACGTGTAAAAACTATTATTTGTTACACGTAAAAAACTATTTTTTACGCGTCAAAAACTATTTGTTTTTGTTAAAAAAACTTTTTTACGCAGAAAAAAACACTTTTTACGCATAAAAACTATTTTTTACGCGTAAGAAAATATTCCTTTAATTTATTACTTTTTCAACATTTCAAACATTTCCTTCAAATTTTTGAATTTAATAGAATCTTTCTAAACAAAAAAATGCAAACTATGTATTTAATTTATTTTTATTGTATAATTAAATATTACGTCCGCCTATGATGGGGTCTCATAGAAAACGCTAAAGACGCTACAGAAAACAAATTGATTTGTTTTCATTAGCGTTTTTTGCGAGACACGCTGAACGCTAGACGCTTTTGGTGGGGCCACTCCTATATAATCCTGTTATTTTGTTTTAGACGCAAAAGACGCTTCATGCTAAAAACGCAAAAAACGCTTTCTGTGTGGCCGTGCACTAAGATTTGTCAGCATTCATGGGACACAGGGCACAGAATAAATTTTAATAACGCCAAAATTATAATGAAAGAGGCGATAACCTCTAAAAGAAAAATAAAAGAGGCTTTTTTAATACAATATAATAAAAATAAATGTATTGCTCATGCATTTGTAGATGTTAGTAATGTATGGCAATCGCTTCTTTGATTTTAAAGAACATAACATAAATAAACATAACATACGTAAAAATTAAAAACAAATTAAAAATAATCATACAGAAAGTTTGAGGCTTTTTGGTTTTACCTTATTAAGTAATTGTTATCAGGTAGTAATTGTTAATTTTGAAGTTTAACATGATATAATGTCATTTTAACAGAACGTCAACGGTTTTAGTAGATTATCAACGCAGCTGTGTTTACAAAAAAATACCTATTTTATTTCGTAGATTTCGCAGTGACGAAATATCCATAAAGGATTTTTTTGGAGAGATGAATCCGCCACATATTATCCGCCACATTTATGGAATATCCAGATGGGACAAAAAAAGTCATCTTCAAGACATCCCTAGGCAAGCCTTGGGATATTTATAGGATAATACAAGGATGATGTTGGGAGCATTATAGAATATTTTTAGGACATTATATGAGGACTGTTATTTGACAATACTTACTTCATCCTTAGTTTATAGTAAAAACGTTCGCGATTTAGTTTTATTTAGCCACATTTTGACGTTATTCATTGGATATTTTTATTAACAGCTCTAAAATATACCTAAATATTATGTCAATGAATTTTGCGTCAAAATTTAGAAGTTTATTGGTATGAGTTAAGAGCTTTCAATTTATACTGTACCATCGAAAAAAAAACGGCGTTCAATTGGCTTGAAAATTACGATCGATGACATTCCCCATATAATTTTATATACAAAATAACAGCAATCTTCATTTCCAAGCCACCTCTGACGCCGTTTTTTTCGATCGTATGGTATTATATCTTTGTACCATGGTATTATACCAGATTATACTACCCTTTATGGAGTCTAGCAGTTTATGTCTAGCAGCAACAGTTTACATCAAAGTTAGCACACAGGATACAGGTATAATTTCTAACACCACACATTCCAGAAACTCACAATAAAACACAAAAATAGGATTTCTGTTCGAATAGATCAAACACGAAAATGGGTTTAGGGATAAAGAACAAGCGCTTTTCAACAAATTTTCACCTATAATTTTGTCACAAATTTTTCATTGTGAGACCCTGAGTCGTTCGTCGTTTTTCGACATTAGTTGAGGTTAGGATAGAATTTCTGCTAGAACAAGGCTAGAACTATGAGTATAAGAAACTAAGTCAATCAAAGTAAAAAAAAACTAAGTCAAACTCAACCAGTTTTATTAGTTTCAGTCATTTTTAAGCCCATTCAATATCGACAAACGACCGAATTCACCTCAAATTTCACTAAATCAAAGAACTGAATAATACACGATGCAAAAACAAACAACTGTCGAGATGGATTGTGGGAAATTTTTTGCGCGGGCGTTTTAAATTCTCTGTATTACTGGGAGTGGCCAAGCTCATAAATATCCAGATTATCCAGAAGATACCAACAGGATATTTTGTTGCCTTGACGTAATATATATCTATCTGTATGGTTTATTGCATTTTATGTAATATAAAAAGTAGAACATTATTTATTTTTCCTAAATATTTAGACGATATTGTTAGGATATTTTATTATCATGAGCATGTTTGGATATCTCAGCTGGATGTACATTAGATATACGACAGAGATATCCATAGGATATTCTATTCTGAGACATCTACAGGATTTCAGGATGTCTGGAGGATATCCTGTAGATGTCTTTATAAGATGATCTTATAATGGGACATTCCGACATTCTATGAATATCCTGCGGTTATTGTGTGTTATGTGGGTAATTAAAAAGGATCTTTTGGGTTTTTTAGGTGTAAGCTCATTGGTTGTCAGGCTGACAAGAAGAAACACCATCCAGAATTATACTTAGGGATCAGTATTAGAGATCATATGTTGAATGATCATGAGGAGGAAGTGCTTGAAGATATGCCACTGATATCCGAAGGAGAACCTAACCAAATAACGGAAGACGCTGAATTTTCTTCCGAATTTCCTTTGAAATATTTGGAGGATGGGTTTATACAAATTGGAGATGAAGAAGACGAATACGAGTCGTTTTCTTTGAACCTGCTAGTAAAAGAAGCTAGAAACTTGGACGCATTGCTTCCAGAAGCATTGGTTTTTCGGTAATGTCTTTTATTTTATGATTATATAACGCTTCTTATGCAAAACAAATTAAAATATTGATTTACTTTGCCAAAAACATATTTTTTAGAAAGTTCAATGTGTCCCATTTTCACGTGTATTTTGGGGTTTCTTGTTTATGAGATGTGGTATTCAGTATGTAAAATGTTATATTACTATGTCTATTTTCGATAAGTTATGAGATAGAAAGAGAGTTGAAAAATGCAACAATTTCTAATTCGCCCTGTATTTCAGAAACTAAGAAAGCTAGGACAAATCTGTGTGGCGTCTTTAGTTTCACAAAAAAATTAGCATTGTAACTTGAAAACCGTAGAATGTAGAATGAATAAGAGGGAGGGCGACCTTTTAAATCACTGCGACCTTTCTGCGATTTATTGTGCCCCCCTTCCTTGAGTCATCACACAGTCTCTAATCCATCATACCCCTGTTGTAGAGGGGACGGGGTATTTCCCATCCTCCTCTGACAACAGTTCTTCCTCCAAGGATACACACCCTTCCACGCTTGGAGTTTGGCCCTCCGTGGCGCCCTTCACAGTCGAAGAGCTTGCCTCCGGCTGAGAAATCCGTGGGGTGGAGGCTGGAGGATCTGTCTCCATTTTCTCCACCTCTTTAACTGACCTGATACGACCCTGCTTGCCTCCCGGTGTTGGACGGCTTTCCATCCTGGCTGGCTATTTTCTCTCCCTGCCGGAGAAGAGGTGAGAGGTTCCGCTCCTTCTCGCTCCCTCTCTTGCCCTTTGATGGAGATGAGTCAGGTTGTTTCTTGGTTTCTTTAAGGTTGTCGCCCACTAGACCGCTGCGCGGCGCGGCGCGGCGATGGGAAGAGAATTTTTTCCGGCTGCGAAGGAACTGCGCCCACTATAGCGCGCCTTTGAAACGCGGCAACTCTATTTAGTTATAGTCGAAGTATTTTTTACTTACTGTAGTTTAGTTTTTAAAGCAATGAGTTCAAGTACGGACGAAAGCGTATTTTTTGTGCTCTTCTAACAGAGGAAGAGGAAGAGGGGGTGAGGAAAAGTTTGGACTCATACGATTAACAAAAAAAGAAAGAAGTTTGGAGAATTTTACCATCTTTTTTCAGATTTAGTAAAAGACAAGATCATTTTTTTCAGTGGGTATTACAAAATATAAAGGAAACATTTTACGCACTCCTCAATTGAGGGTTTTAGAAGCAAAACACCGAGTATCTCTACTCATCATATTTTTTCAGAAGAGACAAATTACTAATACTTTTGATAATTCTTATTTATTCTGATGTGTATATTAGTTATGTGGTGAAAAAACCCTGATCTTTTTTATATATTTAGGTAATTAGAATTTAAAAATTGGAGATTGTCACTTTTGTTAAAAAGTGGAGATTGCCGGTTTTGCCTCTACACCCCTCAATTATATTAAATCTTTGATAGAACGGCATTTCGTCCATCTGTCTCTAGTGAGGGAAGACTTAAAAAAATATCATATTCCTTTATGAAAATCGATTTGCCTAATTTACCTTTAAAAATACAATTCTACCATTGATACGTATCACTAGTTCCTAGTCAAAAAGCCAACTGAAAAGACTCGAATGCAAAATTATTTCCAATGTGAGTACGCACACTGCAACGCGCCAAAACGGCGGAGACGGAAAAAAGTTGCTAGAGAAGTCTTCCGACTTCTTGACGGAAATCCCGCGGCGCGCTTCTGCGCTGCGCGCTCTGATGTGCGTTGGTCCATTTAAATACATGGCAAGCAGACAAAAGAAATTTCCACATGGCGCCGCGCCGCGTCGCGCTGCGGTCTAGTGGGCGACAACCTTTACTCTCCCCTTTTCGGAGGAGTGTTTTCGCTTTTGCTTCCTCTGGAGCAAGTCCTTCGTGGAGCAGTCGGAGTCCGTGCTTCTGCTGCACTAAGACCTACTCTCAGAGGATCGTCTAGCCCGCCTGCTTGACCCAGGCCTGGTAGATGAAACGGTTTAAAAACCATAACTTTGTATGTTTACTCATAAACGAGAAACCCTGTATATAAAACACACAAAAACGGGACACTCTGCATCTGCTTAATACCTACAATTAATAATTCACGTCTTACAGCCAAGCTCCTGACAAATACCACCTCACCTTTAAAATTTTCGGCGTCACCATCAAGACCAAACCGTTTTACAAGCAACTACAAGGCATCATCTATATGAACGAGAAAGTGGTGATCAGGATCCTATCCAGCGAACAGACGCTGTTCGAGTTTTTCAAGACGCAGAACATCGGTATCATTCTGTTCCACGGGCACGAACTCCTCGGTTTTACCGAGATTGAACTGAGCGACGTGACATTCGAAGAGACTGAGGGCAAATGTTTGTTTAAACTGCCGCCTCCTAGTGACGTGGTGCCGTTTGGTGGTGACGACGCTTTGCCTTACATCGAAGTAGTGACGTGGGTGAAAAGAAGTCAGATCGAGAGGTGACGTATAGTTCAAATCAGTTTTATAAGTTATACTATAGGGCTGGCAAAGGTTTGGTTTGGTCGAGATTTCCGTATGTAAGAAGAGTACAATACGTTTATAATGTACTGAACAAAGAGAGGACAGTAAACACGTTGCCAAACGTATGAAATAAACCGAGAAACTGTGCACATCGCTAAGAGACGTGGAAGGGGATATAGCAGATTTATCGCAGTTGACCGGTCGACCCAATCAATACCTCTGTCAGTACTTAAAATTCTAGGAAAAGGTGTACATCATGCGTTCAGCTTCACGATTTAATTACGTCTCGTGATAGTTAATCTGTTTATTTATTAACGAGTCGTTATAATTTTCCTTTTAGCTTGAATTCTTTTAAGTGCAAGCTAGAAACACTTGCATTTTTGGTAAAAATAAGTGGAATTGAGTGGGTGTTCGATAGTGGTCGCGCTATTAGAACTATGAATTCAAAAATCGATTCTGGAAATCTATTAGAAATAATAGATTGTAGTTTTTTCAGGAACTTTGTTAATATTTCTGCTGTATTTTCTTTGTAGACAGTATGTGAAAATCTTTATCAATAAAAAAATTACACGATTGCTGAAAATTGCTATGCTCTAAAAGTAAATGGATGGATTGTTTACAATTTTTGAATGGAAAAAACAACCTTATCGAATTTTTCTTATGTAAACATATTGTAAAATATCCGATCTTGAAAATAAAAAAAAGTTTCAATATCTAAAGTGGTTCTCGAGTTATGGCCTGTTATGTGCTTCTGCTCCGCTAAGACCCACTCTCAGCGGATCGTCCAACCCGCCTGGTTGACCCAGGCCAGGTAGACGAAACGGTAGTCTGTGTCGCCTGTTGGGTTTAGAGGTAAGCTCCCGACCCTTGCTAAAGGAGGTGGTAGCTTGAGTGCCACTAACACAGGACGGTCCCGCGCAAGTGTCAGCCACCTCTCCTGTAGTTTTCTTTGGGGGGTTTGACCCCTTGGAACTTTCATTGTTCCTGTTCCCAGTGTCGCTAGGGGGTTTCCCCACAGCTTCTCCGGTGGTGTTGGTGTTTTTATTTTTATTACTGCTCATAGTGTTCCCACGAGTCGCTAGGGATAGTCAGTCCACTTCTACAGAGCCCCGCATGTAGAAGTAAGGGGTAAATACAATGGGGTGCCCCCTGATGCCCCAAGGTTGAGACCAGTAATGGCTAGTCCCCTATCTAGCCACGCATCCCTTTGACCTGGCCCCGCCATCGTAGGATTTAGGTTTTTGGTGAGGTTGTCTCCTCTTGGTCCAGGCGGTTAAGCCAAGACCCCCCACACCCTCTACCCGCGAGACATGACCACAGACAGTAGAAGGTGCCTGGTTTAAATGTCTTGGTGCAATTCCCTGGCCACTACAGCCAGAGACAAGGCAATGAGTGAGATGCTTCTTGGACCAAGCCAAAGTGCTAGAGGAGATTCTGCCAGCACCTGACAAGGAGCTTCCCCACCAACGACAAGGTCTTGCATCTCCTAGGGGAAGTGTACTCTTCATACAATGTGTAGAGTGCCGTTTTCGGCTCTTCGAAATATGGTGGCTGCGTCGCTGATGTTACACCAATCCCGTATGTTTCTTAGCCAGGAATGTTGTTTTCTTCCTGGGCCTCGCCGTCCCTCTATTTTTCCTTGTAGAATCAGCTTAGGAATGTAATATTTGTCTCCTCTAAGGATATGGCCGAGGTATGAGACTTTCCTTTCTTTAACTATATTAAGCATTTCTTGTTCATAGCCTGCAGTTCTTAAAACTTCTTCGTTGGTTGCATGTGCGGTCCATGTCACACGTAAGACTCTCCGGAGAGTCCACATTTCGAAAGCCTCGATGCGGTTCAGGCTTCTAGCCTTGAGTGACCAGGTTTCTGCGCCGTATAGTAAGATGGGCCATATGTAGCATTTCACTACCCGTAGTCTAAGTGTTAGCGGGAGACTGCGTGCTAATAGGAAGTTTTTAAGTTTAAAAATGTTGACTTTGCATAATTCGTTCTAAGTTTAACTTCCTCATCGCAGTCCCATCGTTCATTGATCATGGCACCCAGATATTTAAATCGTGGAACTCGCTCTATAATATTTCCATCCACGGTCAATGCGGTGTTGATTGTAGGCTGGCGTTCTATTACCATAAGTTTGGTCTTGGCAGCGTTGATTTTAAGACCGAAACGATTTCCCATATCCCCTATCTTATTTATTATTTGCTGGAGATCCTCTAAAGTTCGTGCTGGTATTGCCGTATCATCTGCATATCGTATATTGTTAATTGGAACTCCATTAATCTTAATTCCTCCACTTTCTCCTTCCAGGGCCATTTGAAATATTTTTTCGACGTATATATTAAAAAGTATTGGTGACAGTATACAGCCCTGGCGGACTCCTTGACAGACATTGAAGGTGTCTGTGGATAAATTTTTGTTAACTCTTATCTCTGCGGTTTGGTTCCAATATACCATTAGTACGAAATACCATTGTTTTTTATGACGATGTGCAAACGAGTAAAATTTCGTGTGCGCAAAAATAAACTCGCGTAAAATAACAATAAACAGCGTAATAGAGAGATATCGCTAAACCGTATAGGTGGTATTAACTCTCTTCATTTATAGTTATCGGATCGAAAAGAATTCTGTTCGCGTTGCGTCCGCTATTTAAACTTAGCCTAACTATGAATTTAAAACTTTGAAATTGTTGTGTTTGCTAGGTATTTTAAAACTAAAGGGCTAAAGTGCTTATTTTCAGTGCTTTATTGTTCAACGTCTGCCAGTGGGTTTAGGGCAACAAGCAACAAATTCTCTTAGAAGGGATAAGTCGTTATCTGCTGTAAACCTAAGCCTCTTTATAGGTTCTTTAATATTGGAAGAGGTGGAATCCATATTTTGGGCCATATTTATTTAATTAAAACTAATCCCAGCTACTTAAATATCAAATTACCTAATAAAACTAAAGTAATAATTCAAAACAATTCAAACATAACCTAAAATAAAAGATCTCACCGGCCGGCCCCGGTTGTCAAATACCCGCACATGCCCATTTAAGCAATTTTTAAACGTTATTTAGAAATAACGCTTGGTGTAATTGATCCGCAAATTACGTCAGGCGGTAACGTTATTAGCGGACGTTGCATTAAAAATTGACTCGCGCATACCATAATAAGGTACGCGTAAATACTGCATGTTCGGTTTTCCGCTATCTCTCTAATAACTGTGCCGGTCAGGCGCTGTTCACAATTTTAGAGGCCATAAGTGGGCGTGCCATGTGCGCAAACTAGTAACCTAACTATAGTGCCCGATTGCGAAAATTGGAACCACGAAAAACAATAAAGAAAAAACAAAGTTTATAATCTGTATAATCTGTCATATTACGTTCTAGTATTAATATTATTTTTCCTAAATAGGGTTAAAAAAGTCGTTTCCGAAGAAAAAATACCCACCAAAGTGGTAATGTCAAACTTGGACAAAGCCATCTTTGCCAGGGGCGGGGGTGACTACGCCTGCGACTACGCTTCCGACACCGTCGATAACATGGAGATGAAAATTAGAAGCGAATGCCGAGTTCTAGATGACGACACTTATGACGTCACCGGCACGAAATCAGCGGAAACTGTCATTAAAAACGTTCCGATGTCGCCGAGACCGGTGAAGAAGTACGACGTTTTGGGGGACTACGTCAGGAACGTACTGCACGTGTCTTTGCAGAATTTCGTTTGGAGGGTAGCGGCGAAGGATAGAATTGTGATGTTTAAGTTTCTGCATCCCAGGGCTTCAAATGGCATCACCATATTTACCCAAATCAGTAATGAGGTAGGTAGGGGTAGATTTTTAATGTTTTTTTTTCCATAGCAACTGTTAAAATTGCCTTATATCTATCAAAAATAGTAGATAAAATAGTACTTTAACAGCGAGGATAGGTTATTTCTTCCCGCACGTTTTTTAATTGCTTCCATTTTTGAAAATTTTTGTATTCCTTTTCATAAGTTATTCGGGATTTAAATGGAAGTAGCTTGGATATGGCGTTTGTCGCCTCAGCCTGAATATCTGTTGCTAATTTACTTATTTCGTTTTGAGCCATTTCTGGCTCCAATTCAATCAGCAATCGACACGAAAGAAAATTAAAAAATATTGACTCAAAACTGACAACTAAAGAGACAGCTTTATTTGCTTGTCAAATTCCATAGAAAGCAACGCCAACGCAGCACAATATTTTTTCTACTCGTAATAAATCCCTTGAAATAATAATTTCTGAATAGTTTTTCACTCGCTAATGAAAAAATATTGTTTTATACACGACGATAAAATTGCATTATCGTCTTGTATAAAAAAAGAACTATTATGTAATTCTTTGGTGTTTTTTATCAATTAATTGACTAATCTACTCTAAATAAGAAAGTTAATTATATTATTCAATATTTGTAAGTATTTCTAGACCATAATTTCTGTTGTAACAGAGATTAAGGTGGGTGGACCATGGAAGGCCATGTTCCTTTGAAGGCCAACTATAAAAAAGTCATAGTTATTGCCACGCGATGACAAATTCCTTCCACTCAAACCAAAGACTAAAGAATATAAGGACATGTAACGTCCCTAACGGGCTGCAGCAGAATTTGTGACCTTTTTTTTTGTTTTGGTGGCAAACAATGAGTCGTCATTTGGTCACCAGCGACAATTTTAGCGATTTTTAATAGTTTGTGTGTAGTAAACTTTGTATAAACTTTATTACAATGGTGATTAGTTGTTCAGCTTTCAAGTGTAAAAGCAGCAGCGATAAGAAAGAGCCAGAAGTTACGTTTCATAGGTAAATAAACAGTCCACTCCAACTTTTTAGCGTTTTCTTATTGAATTCGATAATTATTCTTCAATTTCAATTAATATCTATATGTACTTGATATATGCTATACGTCGATACTAGTTTTGTACCTTTTGTTAACATTTTAATACGTTTTTTTCGTAATTAATTAGGATGATACGCCATAGACGTAGTCAAAACAATTATCAAAAAATATAAATATTGCTTCAAACAGCTAGGTTAAGAAAAATATGTGCCACGGCACTGTTTGGTGACAGCGTCACAATTTGCTCTCGGGTGTTATTTGTCCTTGGATTCTTTAGTCATTGACTCACACGAAGCTCCATTAAACTCAAGGATACAAACGCTTCGGCGAGTTGTTAAAATAATTGTAATTCGCGCGCACAGAAAAAAGTAAATAACTTATTATTAAGTATGTGTTATGGTACTAAAGAAAAAAGTAATAATTATTTTGCTTTGATTTCAGTTAAAATATCGGTAGTGTTCCTACGAAAGCTTGTGGTTATAAAGCCAATCAAAAAATTTGCCGTTTGGCCTTGCTAGGGTACATGTGCCTTACTAGGAACATTTACAAATCATGAAAATATGAACATTTGGGTTTCAGTTATAAATACGTACCGGGAAAGTTGAAACAATATATTTTATGTTTATAATATTATTATTTTATTTATAAGGGCCTTACAAGAAGCCCATAGGAATCCGGAATATTTTTCTTTTTGTAATTTCATTCTAAAACGCATCTGGCAACTTATTTGTTATCGATATAATACACATTAAATACTATAATTTTTAAATAATTTCTATTAATATATTCTTAGTTATACGATTGTGTTCAAGGAATGGTTGTTGAGTTTTTTAAAGAAGATTATAATATATATGTTAAGCATTTAATTTTTCGTTTAAATGAAAGAGCTTTTTATGTAGTTTTAGTAAAAGCAGATATTTTGATTATTACAACTCTAGTTTTAAGTTGAACGACTGATTTATAATATTAGCCTAGTATGGAGCCCTGTTCCTTGCAAGGCCATTTGGAAGAACTTAGTAAAAGTTAAGTTTAATAAATAGTGATTACATCTAGAATAAAAAGGTAATGTATACCGGGTGTTGCATCGTCGGACGGGACATAACAAAGCCCATGGAAATTTTAATGGGGTCAATTATTGGCTTCCCTAATTATTTTAGAGAATAATTCTATTTAGGTTTATTGAAGAGCACTAAAATCCACATTCAAAAGAATAACTTTAGATATTTTTGATTAGCCCGTTTACGAGTGATCGCCGATTTCTTTTTAAATATTTCTCCTTTCTTATGGCCCTTTATTTACATATGAGCACCAGTCAAGGTAAAAGATAACTGTCAAATGAAGTTATCATTTCAGAAATTTATCTGTTTAGTGCTTTATTATTATTATTAAAAACTCATACCTACATCGAAAATATTAGCCATGAATTACACTACCGAAGAAAAAGTATTGATGATTAAATGGTATTATCAAGGAAATAGTTATCAAAAGGTGTCGGACATGTTTGCTGCTCTGTATCCGAATACACCGATACCTGGAAAATCTACAATCGCAAGGAATATCTATGCAGATATTTGAGACCAAAGGTACCCTAATAAATAACTGCAGATGTGAAGCAAGGCAGGAACAAAGAGAAGATGCAAGAAATGATACCGACTTGGAAGTTTTATTGTGCGTGGAAGAGAACGATTGAAAGATCAGCACAAGCAAAATTGAAACTTGAGGATAGATCACACTACAGCGTTTCGAATTTTGAAACGACATACATATTATTCCTTCAAATATGCAAAGCACCAAGAGCTACGAGATGGGGACGAAATACGGCGGCAGGCGTTTTGTTTTGATATGATGGAAAGAGCAAACACGGCTAGGGAATTTTTAAAAAACATATGTTTCACTGACGAATGCACGTTTACCTTAAATAATGAACCCAATGTTCAAAATTATCGATATTGGAACAAAGAAAACTAACACAGGTTTGTCGAAACAATATCCACAGAAAGTAAATGTTTGGGCAGGGATATTCGGACACAATATTATCGGGCCATTATTTCTTACGCGAAATTTAAATGCAGAATATTATTTGGAACTACTCGAAAATCATATTTTACCTGCTTTACATGATGCCGCTACGGAAAATCAGGAAGTTTGGTACGAAATGGATGGCTGCCCGGCACATAGTACCCTGGCTGTTCGGGAATATTTAGACAATAGTTTTAACGGAAACGTTATTGACCTAAATCATACAGGAAATTGGCCAGCAAGGTCTCCTGATATTTCGCCAAATGATTTCTTTCTCTGGGACCATTTAAAAAACAGGATATACAAGGATAAAAAATACCCAAATCTAGACGAGTTAAAAAATGCTATTTCTGCCGAATGCAATAGAATTTCAGTTTATCATCTAGCGAATGTAAGAAGAGAATTTTATGATCGCCTGGGTTATTGTCTAACCAGTCGATGGAGGAATATTTGAACATCTTCTTAAATCCTAAAGTTCTAACAATTTAATAGTACCTAAATTAATGAGTTATTGAATATTGTAATAATACTATAATTAACCTTGTAATTGATTAATTTATTTTACATTAATTCATATTAATTTGTATTTATAAATACATCTATAAGATTTCCGATGTAGGAATGAGTTCTCAATAATAATAAAGCACTAAATAGGTAAATTTCTGAAATGACAACTTCATTTGACAGTTATCTTTTACCTTGACTGGTGCTCATAAGTAAATACAGGGCCATAAGAAAGGAGAAATATTTAAAAAGAAATCGGCAATAACTCGTAAACGAGCTAATCAAAAATATTCTAAGTTATTCTTTTGAATGTGGGTTTTAGTGTTCTTCATTAAACCTAAATAGAATTATTCTCTAAAATAATTAGGGAAGCCAATAATTGACCCCATTAAAATTTACATGGGATTTCCTATGTCCCGTCCGACGATGCAACACCCGGTATGATACACAATAAAACAAAGTGTTAATTAATAATTTGTTTCTTTCATTTATCCAGTAAATAAACTAATAAAAACTGTTTATTCGTTATAGTCGTCTTCCATGGCCCACCCACCTTAGAGAATAGTACCTAGCATTTGTATCCTTCTGAAATATTTTATTCAATCTCTCAAATATTAATTGTTAGGCAGGTGTGACAACCGATTTGAAGAATATTGGTGCAAAGCTAAGTTACGTCTCTACTGACACTCAAATCGAAAATATCCTAAACGCCTGGCCACCAAAACTGGTACTTACTGACGAGAAAGAGAGATTACTGAGTGAAGAGTACGAATTTGACGTCTCCAAATTTTTGGGCGGGTTCTCCAAACTCTACAAGTAACTTAAAATTGAAAATAATTTTGAGAATGCTTTTTAATTTGTTCTATTTTACTAGGTACACTGCTGACTTGAAGGCTATTAGAACCTTTCAGCCTTTAGCTCGTGTAGAAGTCACTTTAAATCTGGAAGATGCTGCTTTTAATCTGGACGATACAGATTTTCATTTAAACCCTCCCATTATCGATGAAGTGTTAACACTGAAAGAAATATCCGACATCGAAACTTGGAAGAAAACACAGAAAGAACTTTTCAACTGCAGTTTGGAAGATTTTAAAGAATCTGAAGCAAAGAAACTCGAAACAACATGGCAAGAAAAGAAAATAGATATCGAAATGAAATTAGACGCTCAGATGAACAAGTGTAAACATTTACAGGAAGAACTCCAAAATAAACTTGACAGTATCAAGACAGAAAAATATTTAACAAGAACCAGAAACCAGGCGAATATATTTTCGGAAATTTTCAATGAGAATTGGGACAAGTACTGCTGTGCTGATACCAAAGAGTTGATAGAACTTCTAAGCAAAACTCAAAGAGATAACGAGTACCTTAAGAAGTTGGTGGCAGACCAAAGAGATAAACTGCGAAGTTTCGAGAAAACTGCATTGACCAAAGGTCAAACTGTTGCTCTTTTACAAGAACTGAAAGAGTTGGAGAAGGGTTATGCAGAGGTGCAAAATGCGAAAGAGTATTTCAAAACTCAGTGGAAACAAGCTTGTGACGAGATTCACGAGCTCAAGACAGAAGAATACAAGAAAATTCAGCTGGAAATAAAGAAGAGCAAAGAAGAACTTGGAGAGTTTAATTTAAATAATGAGGAAGAAATTGATGTGATCAATAAATTGCTGGCTTTGAATGAAGAACACGATGATGTTTTCGGATGATTCTAATAAGATTTCTATATACTCGATTTTTATTTCGTTTATTATTATAATAAAAACTATTTTACAAAGAGAACAATTATTATTTTATTGCAAATTTAATGTTATTTTTTTTGGCAATAGCTTTGAGACAATACTTATACAGGGTTGTTCGCACATACGACACGGAGTATTGTAGCTAAACGATAACAAAAAATATTACAATTAAGTAAAAAATATTATAGTTGTATTTTTTTTAAATCCAACACTCTGTATATGATTCTATTTTTAGATACTACGATTGAAATAAAAAGGTAAATTAAGGTTTATCACACTTTAACCTTTCGTATATTTTTCATTTTATTGATTTTATGGAAAGCACTGTTCATTAAAATGATGTATCCTATGTTATAGGGCTTGTTTCTCTCTACAATTTTCTATCTCACAATGTACCGTTTGTGTCCAGGAAGAGTTCATAGTTTCATAGTTGTCGATTTTCGAAAGAAATCAGTACATGCATATTATTTCGTATATTTTTCATTTTATTCATTTTATGGAAAGCACTGTTCATTAAAATGTTGTATCCTATGATATAGGGCTTGTTTCTCTCTACAATTTTCTATCTCACAATGTACCGTTTGTGTCCAGGAAGAGTTCATAGTTTCATAGTTGTCGATTTTCGAAAGAAATCAGTACATGCATATTATTTCGTATATTTTTCATTTTATTGATTTTATGGAAAGCACTGTTCATTAAAATGTTGTATCCTATGTTACAGGGCTTGTTTCTCTCTACAATTTTCTGTCTTATAATGTACCGTTTGTGTCCAGGAAGAGTTCATAGTTTCATAGTTGTCGATTTTCGAAAGAAATCAGTACATGCATATTATTTCGTATATTTTTCATTTTATTGATTTTTTGGAAAGCACTGTTCATTAAAATGTTGTATCCTATGTTATAGGGCTTGTTTCTCTCTACAATTTTCTATCTCACAATGTACCGTTTGTGTTCAGGAGGTGTTCATAGTTTCATAGTTGTCGATTTTCGAAAGAAATCAGTACATGTATATTATTTCGTATATTTTTCATTTTATTGATTTTATGGAAAGCACTGTTCATTAAAATGTTGTATCCTATGTTATAGGGCTTGTTTCTCTCTACAATTTTCTATCTCACAATGTACCGTTTGTGTCCAGGAAGAGTTCATAGTTTCATAGTTGTCGATTTTCGAAAGAAATCAGTACATGCATATTATTTCGTATATTTTTCATTTTATTGATTTTATGGAAAGCACTGTTCATTAAAATGTTGTATCCTATGTTATAGGGCTTGTTTCTCTCACAATTTTCTGTCTCACAATGTACCGTTTGTGTCCAGGAAGAGTTCATAGTTTCATAGTTGTCGATTTTCGAAAGAAATCAGTACATGCATATTATTTTGTATATTTTTCATTTTATTGATTTTTTGGAAAGGCTTTATTTCTCCAAGGGTATCAAAGTTTTTAATACTAAATATTTACTGAAGATTATTTATTGATCAGATATTGTGTTGCAATAATAAAAATTATACTACCTTATACAGAGTGTCCAAAAATTTATTTTAAATAATTATTAGCTTCAAACGGCAATAACTTCTTTAATTTAAATGGAATGCCCTGTATATTTTAGGAGAATCAGATGCACAATTAAATTGTCTATCAAAAAAATTATATTAAATAACAACTAGATTTAAACGGTAATAACTTGTTGAACATAAGTTGAACACAATATCTGATGAATAAATAAACTTCAGCAAATATTTAGTATTAAAATCTTTGATACCCTTGGAGAAAGGAAGCCTTAAAATTTTTACTGCAATTTCATAAATATGAAAATATTTCAAAAACGGTAAAAGTGTGATAAACCTTAATCACATTTACCTTTATTTCAATCGTAAAATCTAAAAATAGAATAATATACAGGGTGTTCCATTTAAAAAAAATATATAACTATAATATTTTTTAATTGTTTGGGACACTCTGTATCTTGTAAAATTATTTTTAAATTTGTAGCTCTAATAGTACTTCAACGAACCCACAACTTACAATTTGTAAAAATCTAATCTTGTGGCTACAATACTCCGGGTCGTATGTGGTGAACAACCCTGTATAATAGCTTTGAGAGTTTTTACACTGTCTACACGCGATATTACACAGTTTAAAGGTATTAAAACCTGGATTTTTTCTGTATTATTAATGTTTTTTTATGACGAAAAAGCTAAGTAGTTTAATACAAAAAGAAGAATATTAAACAAGAAAAACACCTTAACGCAAATTTAAAAAGTCCTTTTTTTCTGAAAAGCGCAGCAAGATTTTCAGGTATAAAACTCACACCGGGTCATAATTTATGAAAAGCCTTTTCCTTTAATAATCCTAAATAGGACGCGTAAAATTTAACGCAGTAATCAAAATTTATACCTTTATTTTTGCTTACTCCTTATTTTATTCTTTACATTTTTATTATAAATTTATAATCTACTAGCACAGATTATACAGATTATAAACTTTGTTTTTTCTTTATTGTTTTTCGTGGTTCCAATTTTCGGAATCGGGCACTAGTTAGGTTACTAGTTTGCGCACATGGCACGCCCACTTATGGCCTCTAAAATTGTGCACAGCGCCTGACCGGCACAGTTATTAGACAGATATCGGAAAACCGAATAGCGTCATCCAGTATTTACGCGTACTTTATCATGGTTACGATATGCGCGAGTCAATTTTTAACGCAACACCCGCTGATAACGTTACCGCCTGACGTAATTTGCGGATCAATTACACCAAGCTCTATTTCTAAATAACGTTTAAAAATTGATTAAATGGGCATGTGCGGGTATTTGACAACCGGGGCCGGCCGGCGAGATCTTTTATTTTAGGTTATGTTTGAATTGTTTTGAATTATTACTTGAGTTTTATTAGGTAATTTGATATTTAAGTAGCTGGGATTAGTTTCAATTAAATAAATATGGCCCAAAATATGGATTCCACCTCTTCCAATATTAAAGAGGCTTAGGTTTATAGCAGATGACGATTTAGCCTTTCTAAGAGAATTTGTTGCTTGTTGCCCTAAACCCACTGGCAGACGTTGAACAATAAAGCACTGGAAACTGGAAATAAGCACTTTAGCCCTTTAGTTTTAAAATACCTAGTAAACAAAACAATTTCAAAGTTTTAAATTCAAAGTTAGGTTAAGTTTAAATAGCGGACGCGACGCGAACAGAATTCTTTCCGATCCGATAACTATAAATGAAGAGAGTTAATACCACCTCACGTAAAGAAAATAACACCTGGCCTTATTAACGTCCATGCACGCTATTCGGTTTAGCGATATCTCTCTATTACGCTGTTTATTGTTATTTTACGCGAGTTTATTTTTGCGCATAGGAAATTTTTCCTCGTTCGCACATCGTTATAAAAAACAATTTTTGTACCACGAATTAGGAACAAGATTTTTATCTGTATAGGATACCTAATCTGTGCTACTAGAAACAGTTAATTATATTGTTTATTAGGAGTAAAAATGATGAGAGATCAAAGACATGCTTGAAGAACTTAACGATGCATTACACGAGATTGGACTAACAATAAATTTTGACAAGACTAAGATAATGACTAATATGGTGCCCAGCGAACACATACAAATTCACAACAACAGAATAGAATTAGTCCACAAAAATCTATACTTGGGCCATGAGATCAAAATAAGCAGAGATAACCAAACCTGTGAACTGGCTAGACGAATTACCTTGGGATGGGCGGCTTACGGAAAAATGAGGGACATCTTTAGAGCAAATATCCCAATACACTTGAAAAGAAAGGCATTTAACCAATGTATTGTCTTTAATTTTCAAATTTGATAGAATATTTTATTTAGCAAGATAATTTCTTTTTATTTTTTTATTTAACGCACTACATTAGAAAAAAATCGGAAGAGCCGCAAAGAAAAAGTCCCCCTTTATTTTTTTCATCTTATATTCTCTTTGAGGCGGTTTCCATCAAAATTCGACGGATAAATTTTTAAAAACACCCACCTAGCTCTCACTTCTACCCTGCAACTTTGCCGAGTTATAAATTTATCAAAGTTGCCGGGGCGCGCCAAAAACCGATCATGGTCAAATTAAAAATTAAAATTTTAACGTGGCGCGCCCTCTGCTGTTGGCTAGTTTCCAACTCGATCATCGCTGTCAACTAATGCTATATCAATGCGGAAAGTGCGACTGCGAACTTTAACGGGGTCGAAAGTTTTCATATTTCAACAGGTTGGTAGAGTTGCCGCTTTATTTGTACGAATTTCAACTGTCAGAATTTTGAGTTTAGTTATCTATACTGATTAATACTGATTAATCACGATCCTGCTCAAACCACTCAATGTAAGAAGCTCAATTTTGGCATACAGGTTGATTCTAGGGTGTAGAGGTTCGATAAGAAGGGATTTTTCGAAATTCCGGTTCCAAGAGGGTGAAACCACCCCTTAAATATTACAATATTTTTTATTTAAAAAATGGTCAAGTTTCCGAAAAAACGCTTAAACACGTATATTTTATTTTGTTTTTTTACATATTTTAAGATTTTTTAAAAATGTATACAGGGTGTTTCGAAAAATCTGGTCATTGATTAATCACGATCCTGCTTAAAGGGCTTGACGTAAAAAGCTGATTTTTGGAAAACAGATTGACCTTAGGGTGTAGAGGTTCGATAAGAAGGGATTTTTTGAAACTCGAATTCTAAGGGGGTGAAACTATCCCTCAAATATTAAAATATTTTTTATTGAAAAACCGGTGAGTTTTTCGGAAAATCTCTTAAACACGTATATTTTATTTTGTTGTTTACATATTTTAAGATTTTTTATAAATTTATACAGGGTGTTTCATAAAATATAACCATTGAGTAATCACGATTCTGCGTAAACTTCTTGACGTTTAAAGCTGATTTTTGGCAAACGGATTGACTGTGGGCTGTAGAGATACGATAAGGAGGGGTTTCTCGGATACACCCTGTATACATTTTTAAAAAATCTTAAAATATGTAAAAAAACAAAATAAAATATACGTATTTAAG